TTTCTAGATATAAATTTAATCTAAACAAACGTCGATATTAAAATAAATAAATAATAACAAATTCGTTACAATATAAACTGAACTAGTCATATTAATGGTTAATAAAAACTGTAACGATTGGATTTAGTGTATTAATGCATTACTAACCAGCACTGTTAATTAACACATGAAGTAAAAACAAAGAGCGCAGTTAAGAATTATTGGAATCAACATCAACAAAAAGACAAAACAAAAACTGGGTTAGAAAATAATTTGATTGTGAGGAAGGCCTTGCGTCTGTTTTCGTGCATGCGCAAAAAAAAGGTTTTGTGTCTGGTTGTAGACGCTCGGGAAATATGCAGTAAAAGTAATGTGAAACTGAGTGTGGTTAATAAAAGAACAAATACGAAAGATTGGAGAAAACTGTCCAATGATTGATAGAAATATAACTAACTCTACTAAATAAATAACTTTATAACGTGGAGTAATAGTAAAAATAAAAAGGAAAATACAGTGTACAAAAATCAAAAATTGCGAAAAAAGAGAACATTATATAGAGAGACTGGTGAAATCTTAATGAGGGAAATTAATGTAAAACATACGGTCTAACATGTTTTTACCTTTCGAGAATACTCAACTGATATTTCAATTTTTTATAAATGTTATGAGCTCTTAGTACTCTCCGTGGTTAAGTTGTAATGTAAACACAATAATTTCTAATTTTAACTATAGTGCTGATTAACTTTCAAACTGTATAGTGGTCTCAAGTTTAGACTAAATTACAATACACAATGTCTTTGCTGAAGTTTATACTTTACATGTAAATTAGTTTTAAATCACATATTGGTTTGATTGAGGTTGTAAATTACCTACTAACACATAACTGTATAAAAGCGATAGAGCCTATCTAAAAGGGTGGTACTGAAAAATGTCAAATAGAAAGACGACAAATTGAAAGAGAATGTGTGCAGAATGAGTTAAATATCTACAAGAAGTATGAAAAGAAAGAGTAAAGGTGTGACTTATGTTGGAGGAGGTTGAAAACACGTCGATTTCTTTAAACGTATAAGCTTTTAAAGAAAAACGGAAGTGGGGCTAAAAAGAAACTAAAATGAAGGTAAAGAGAGCCTCGAGCGCAGTAAGTTGTTAAAAAATTTGAATAAAGAATGTTAGCGTAGAAAATTAATGTCTATTTTATTCATCAAGAAGTAAAGTTATAATGGTAAAAAATGCACTGTTCAAAACAACGTAAGTAAAAAAATACAAATAAAAATTCAATGACATTTATTCTTCACTATGTATGCATCCACCTCTTTTGATTTGTATTTATTGAGATAAAAATCTCCAACAATTTTGTAAAGTATAAATGTGGTTGTTCTGTGATTTAAAAAAAAAATACAGCATCGATCACCTTTGAACTATGTTAATTAAAACATGTATATTTAGACTTACCACTGTGCAGAATAAGCTGCTAAGTGTAGATCCAATACACACTTAACAGTTAGGCTTACTACTACTAGCCTCGGTCGTTTGGTTAAAGCTAGGCCTTACTTGTAGCAAACACAAAATATAATAATATTAACTTAAAGTGTCTTAGACAATAGTAAATTTATTTTTCTACATATCAGTTGAGCATGAAGATATTAATAAAAGTGAAATATTTGTTTAAATATTACACATTTGCCGCAAAAACTTAAAATTAACTAAAATACGGCCATTATATGTAAGTTACCATTCCTAGTGATACAATTTTGGGTAAGCATGACATTTCCTGATTAAATTAAAATTTATTTGTAAGGAACAAATTATTTTACACAGTTATATAACAAAACTAAATGTCGAATTCGAATTGATGTACCGTTACCAGTAAATCATCAGCTTCCTCTCTGGTAATTTAAGTGTACTGTTTAGTCGCCTTATGCTATTATTAAATGTCTTCACCAGTAAAATATTACCAATATCTTTTCAAGGTCAATAATATTTATTAAACTTATTGTAAAGACGGGATCAAAAATAGCTCTAAATGTTAATTTATTTCATTGCATATGTAGCAGTGTTTTGTATTAAACTAAATTTTACGTGTTCCCAGGTGTTTTACTGTTAGTGTTATACTGATGTTAGTAACAGTGCCATAAAGTGAATTAAATATATAGCTTCAGAAAAAGTTATAAATGTGTACCTTGAATTATAAAGTCATGTGCTCAAGTCCTTCCCGATCTCACTTTTAACATCAGAAAAACATACATTTACAGGACTGCATTCCACGATCAAAGATTTCTACATTTAAAACTACGCAATATTAAAATATTCGGCAAAAAAGAACAACAAACAAACATATTCTGAGCTTTACATGTTTATTGTCATAGCCTAAGGGTGTTGATAATTTTCTCAACAACCGTCGTAGTAAAAATTTGGGATGGAGCATTTGAAAGTATCTGTTTGGTTAGTAAAGTCATAGGTTCAAGTCCCGCCAGATCTTCGGAAAAAATAATAAATTTTAAAATACTTATATCTTTAAAGTTTAAAGAAGGCATTTATGGATATAAATGTGTGTGTAAAAATTCAACACTATAAAATGTTTAAATAGTTCCTAGTCATTGTATACGGCATTTCACCCTAGGCTCGGATTAACCAATGAACACCCAGTGTAGTTGCACATGACCCCCAGCTAAGAAGGATAAAAAGTACCTCAGTGATATTCTATAAGTAGGTCTATATGACACTCACAACTGACCTAAATAACACGTAAACTTCATTCACTCATTGTTATTTTACAATGATCGCAGTGCTTTCTCAGCCTCGTTATTAGCTCAACGGGGAAGTATATGATATTTTTTTTTAATTAATTATATTTAACATTAAATTATTAGAGTAAGAACTCAAAGTATTTGCTCTGTTGATGGTGTTCGTGGGTTTTCTTCTGAGAAATATTGATGTCTTTTATAAGTAGTAATGATAATATTTGGAATTGTTCTGATATTTACAGGCTCCGTATATCATATGCTCTATCTCAGTGTTTCTAAAGTGGGGGTCGTGAAGCTTTTTCTGGGGAGCCGCCAAAAAATAAGCCGTAAAACAAAGATGCTGAATTAATTTCAATTCTAAATATAGAATAAGCCGATAAAAATTATGTTGAATCAATTAAATGATACTGTATGTTGAAAGGACATATTATTGTTTTTACTAAGGCACTATTTTTCAATCATCATGCTAAAGTTATAGGTTGGGGCCTCAAACTTTTTTATTCACATCAAGGGACCCCCAGACTAAAAGAGTTTGGGAACCACTGCTCTATCTAGCTTAAGGAAGGAAAGGCAGATTTTCGATAGAGCACAGGACTCCAAATGTTTTATTCCGAAACTGTCCTGTTTTTAAACAAGTTTAACTTTAGATGTGGTTTTATTTTGGTTGGTGGCCTGTGGAGTATATGTATATATATATATATTAAAATGAATTTTGTACGTGTCGTCCGTAAGAGACTGAAATATAATCTACAAACAAGTCCTAAAAAGTGTAAAACGCAAGGACTTCTATTTCATTATTCTTTTTGTTTCAAACTGAAAGGCCGTTTTTTATTTTTGTATGTCATTTCGAAATAACCAAAGCAAAGAAGCTCTGAGTAAATCTTAGGGTTTTGAACGAGTCAGAAAGACTTCTTCATTTACTTACCCCACTTTCGCGATGGAAATTAAAATTAATTTGAGGTGTGATGGTGTGATTTTTTTCTAATGTGTAGATAGCAGCACAATAATATCACATGTGTTTCATTCCACCATTTTCTAGGTGATAACTTTCTTAAACGCGTTGTTGACTTAGCTGATGAAATTTACTAATACCAAAAACAAAACAAAAAAATAGCATCTTTCAGTGGCTCGCGTTCATTTTGGCTTTATATTTACATTGTGGTTAGCGCTGGATCGATATCTCGTAAAAGAACTTCATAACGGAAACAAACTAATAATTTTTTGTTGGTTTGAAACCATCTGTTTTTCAAGTCGAATTTTCAACAGCTTAATTTTTAATATTTATAAACTGCTTTTAATACAAGCTGACTATGTGTTAGATATTAAATGACGTAGGTAGAAATGTTTTTAAGAGAATGCACTTATTCTTATACTCTGTGAAATAAACTTACTTTATAAGAATGGAAGTTAATACACATTTTTCCTGGTTGTTAGCAACTTCAACCTAAAACTCCTACAAATCCACTTTGTAGGCTCTTCACAAAATACAACCCAATCACAAGCAAACACACATAAGGCGTAAAGTTTGTGATAAAAATCACGTAAAATGTTTTTTCTTCACATCCCTTTTTAATTTGTCCATTTAGGATTCAAAAGATAAACCTAAAATGTCGTTTTTACACATTTCTATTTTGAATCCGAAATGGACAGACTAAGAGGAATGTGGAAAAACAACTGCAGTTTACGTGATTTTTAAGCCTATTTATTTTAATACTTCACCATATTCAAGCATATATGCTGACCCCGAAGCGCCTGGGTTCTAGGGTTTTGTATTTTAGGGTTAAATTGATTTTTTGAACCTACGTGTTTTCCTAACATCGTGAAATTATACCAGTTCTTCTCATTTTCAGTTTTTAATAGTTATAGAATGTGTAGAATACCACATAGTAATTTGCTGAATATCTGTGTGAATATAATTATGTAAGATTAAGAAAGGCACACACAAAAAGAAACTTTGTTATCCATGTTAACCAGTTACAGTAATTAAATCATATCATAAGGCTTTTGATGCTGCAATTCTATACTACGTTATGTTTTATTATCAAGTTTGAACGTTGATTAGGCCTTAAGGTCTGTAAGGACTAATCAACGTTCAAATTTGATTTATCAATAACAACAACAAAAAAAACTGTTTTTATTGTTATTCCCTAGGGAGCAACTGTGGCGACTTTCTTAAGTCAGGATCATCAGAGTGAAAAAAGAACAGTAGAAATGCCTGACCTTCAAGAGTCAGAGAACGAGACAGAAGTCCAAACACGCGCAATCATAAAAATATCTGTAAGTACTTTGACAAAATAAGTTAGCTATTTCGGTAACGGCATCCCATCTGTCTAAAAGCACAATTACATATTTATTATAATTGTTTCCCCTACTCTAGACGGAAGAATACACAGCTGTAAATCCGACCGAAGTTAGAGAATACGCCGTGTCCTACGTTCAAGATATAGTAAAGAAAGGAGTCGTTATTGCAGAGATCGTGAGTTAAGCCGGTCTTTCTTAACTTGACTATTTTTTTTAAATATGCATCACATCTGTATATGGTTGACCCCTTTATTCTAACTTGGATGTCTTCGTGCGTGTAAACGAATTTGATCAGATACACAACTTTAATTCTCAAACCAAGAAGAATAATGAATGGTAAAAATGATCAGTTTAATATATTTCTCCAGTTTCTAGTCCAAACACTTTAAGGCAAATAATCTCCATTAGTCCTGAATAAATACTATCATTAGGCTAACTGAATTTAAATTTATGCAAACTGGGGAATTTCATTCAAAACCGATAGGATAAATAAAACTGTGTTTTTTTTTACTAGAATGAAGAAAACGGTGTTCCTAGATCAACTGAAGTACGAGAATACGCAATGTCTTATGTCAAAGATATATTAGCCCAGAGTGTCGCTATCGCTGAGAAGGTGAGTGATTCATTTTGTATATAAAAGACGCTGTTATCATTTCAATCAAGAAGTGTTATGAAATAGTCTAGTAGTTAGCCAAAATTTATTTCTTTTGATTCTTCTGGATATAACATTGTTGATTCGGTTAAGATGAGAAAACATGGCATTTATTCATCGTTAGTATGATTTATAAGAAATATATGTCGATAATTTTAAATATTGGTTTTATAACCTTTCTAAATGTGTCTAATGCGGTGGTATTTCTAGACGTTTTTTTTACAAACTTTCCAAAGGTGTCTAATGCGGTGGTATTTCTAGACGTTTTTTTTTACAAACTTTCCAAAGGTGTCTAATGCGGTGGTATTTCTAGACGTTTTTTTTTACAAACTTTCCAAAGGTGTCTAATGCGGTGGTATTTCTAGATATGTTTAAAATTCCATAGGGTCTATATATTTTTATAAAGTAAACATTTTATTTCTGATTTGCATAGATTTTAAAGATTATTAAGAACATAATTACGTTATTTCCACTTCGTACCTTTAGGTTTATTGTTTCCTGTATCATGTCCTCATAAGAAATTTCAGTCTTAGAAAAGTGAACAAAATAATCAACATTAAATGGTGGTTAGGGCGCTCGACTCGCAATCTGTGGGTCACGGGTTCGAACCCCCTTCACACCAAACATGCTCGCCCTTTCAGCCGTGGGGGCTTTATAATGTGACGGTCAATCCCACTATTCGTTGGTAAAAGAGTAGTCCAAGAGTTGGCGATAGGTGGTGATGACTAGCTGCCTTCCCTCTAGTGTTACACTGCTAAATTAGGGACAGCTAGCGCAGATAGCCCTCGTGTAGCTTTGCGCGAAATTCATAACAAACAAATAATCAACATTAAATGTAATTCAGTTTATAACAAATCTTAAGTATTTCGATAAAACGATGTACAAAAAATATAACAATGTATTTTTGTCATACCGTATAATTCAGCCAATAGGAGAGGGGGTCATCTTCAGTTTAAGCTGCCATGGGCTGAAACGTCGGAGTTTAATTTCTTAAAAAGCATTTCTGTTGTAAAGTTGACCACAATATTAATGATCCAGCGAAATCCCTGTCTTTAACAATCTTGGTTTCTTCCCGATAAAAAACTGGTCGAGTAAAAGACAATTGCAGCAAAATAAATGATACAGTAAATAAACCTAAATATGTTTTTTTCGCCTGCAATTGATGAAGAGAAAACCAGCAAAATGTCTGCGTCGAAGGAAATCGTTGTAATTTACTCTCTAAAACAAAATTGTTATAACCAAAAACATAATTATGTAGGAAACGATGAAAACAATGCAATTTATACATTTGTTTTATTTCTTTAAAACCAACTATTTAACAAAAAAAAAAGTGTTTTTAAACGGAAAACATTCGTTATCAATCGGTTTGTTTTTGAATTTCGTGCAAAGCTACACAAGGGCTATCTGCGCTAGCCGTCCCTAATTTAGCAGTGTAAGACTAGAGGGAAGGCAGCTAGTCATCACCACCCACCGATAACTCTTGGACTACTCTTTTACCAACGAATAGTGGGATTGACCGTCACATTATAACGCCCCACGGCTGAAAGGGCGAGCATGTTTGGTGGGACTGGGATTCGAACCCGCGACCCTCAGATTGCGAGTCGAGTGCCCTAACCACCTAGCCATGTCGGGCCTATCAATCGGCTTGACGGTTCGAAATATTTTTGTTTTACAAAAATACATAACATGTGCATACTTTATGAAATTTTGTCTTGATCTCATCTATGGGATTTTCATTTTAGCGGATTGCAGTGACACACGATTCTACCTCCCTGGGTAAGTAAATATACATATATTAAATAGGTAATTACAAGTTTTAAATTTTACATGCACGGAATGGGACTCGTAATTAATATTCCTTGAATGATATGTACTCACTAATTCTACTGAATGCCCATAATGCCCCCCCCCCTTTAATTAACATCGGCGGTATCTTTTGTTAAAGTAAAATATATGGGTTATAAAATGAATTGTTCTTTCAAGCAAGAAAACAGATTTAGCATAGAAAAAAAATCAATAGCGCCATCTCTTGGATAGCGACCCTTACTTCTTTAAGATAATTTTTTTCTAAAAACAAAAAAATATCACATTTTGAAAGCACTTGGGTTACTGTTTTTTTTTACATAACAATTACACACATACATATATATATACATACATATATTTTCTAACATTGATGAAGCTTTCGTTTTAGTATTTAATTTCTAAACTTAGATACTTTTAAAAATTGAACAGTTTACATTAAAGATGCTTTATGTTTGTTATAGATTTGTTTGTTTTTTTTGTTATTATTAAGAGTTGTGAATATGAAAGAGACAACAAAACATCATCCCTGAAATAACCTGTAAAGAATATCATGATCTAATACAATTATTTGTTTTCTTCTTTTTCTGGTGACTTTTTTTATTGGGTGGGCTTTGAATAGATGAAATTTGATCTCTTCTATTGATTGCGATCTTATGAAGCCTTTGAATTTGATGAAGAGATAACTTAGATTGGTTTTATGTGCATCCTGATAAAATGGAAACTTTCTGTGTTCCAGAAGACAAGCGGAAATTATCCGGTCCCTGGTATCAACGACTGCGTGTATGCATCAGAAATTTTGGACGTCGTGTTTTTACGTGCACTGGTCGAAGGGACACAGAAGAAGGAAACTAATAACACTGTTGTGAAAACAATGTATTTCGTTTTTATGCGGGTTCAATAAGATACATGGAAGCTACACAGTTTCGGGGTAAAAACAGAAACCGATGTTCCCAATTTGATTAATCCTTTGTGCTTCGTTTCGACTTAAATCTGTTACTCCTTATATATTTACAGACGTAATTTGGAGGGAAAATTATTGCGTCAAGATAAACGTACACATACATTGCATTCCTTAATAACACGCTTCAATATTTGCATATATATAATCTTATTTCAGCCAGACCTCATATTTATATCAACATTTACTCACGTTTTCAGTCAGGTTAGGAATTAGTTTAAAAACAAAACGAAACATTTTCAACAAAATACAAGTTTTTACCAATTATTTAATCTTTCAGTTATTCCATTATGTACGAAATCTCGTAAGTTTACGTATTTGTTATCAATAATTTTTACTATGACTTACTGATTTATAAGCGGTATTTGTTCTAAAACATTATTTAAAGAAAGACACTGATGTTATTTATTTCTGTAAGCTATACAATGTTATGAAAATGTTAATGGCTTCCAAAACTGTCATCTATGCTAAGTGTATGTGTGAGTATGTATGTATGTATGTATGTGTGTATGTCAGAGTGCCAAACCATATCAAACAATGATCATCTTTTATCTCACCTGTGTAGTTGCAGTTTTTGTATTGACTGTCTGTTGTATCAAAATATGACGTTTGAATTGTGTGTAATTTTTAACCAATAAAATGCTTTATAATAAATACGACTAACTACCGCGTGGATTCTCAAACCAATCAAAGTGTTCACAACAAAAGAAAGTTAACATTTCAAGACTTCTTTTCAGGGTAAAATGTTGTAAGTGTATCTATATCTAATCAAAAACACCTGAGGTGTGAAAAAAAGGTGCGGCCAAACTGGTAGCTACACTCATAGCATTCATGAAGATTTTACAACAAATATTCATTCACTAGTTAGCTAGGGCGCGTATTTTATTTTATCCATCATCGTGCCAAAAGTTGAACGAAAAAATGCGGCTTAGCTAACTAATGAATGATTATTTGTTGTAAAATTATTATCAATGTTATAAGTATAGCTACCAGTTTGACAGCCAATTTTGATTTCATTTCTTTAAGTCGCACACTCAATCCTTTTTTGACCGCACCTTTTGTCACACTTAAGGTGTTTTTTCATTAGATATCATGACTTTTTTTTTCAATACACACCAACAAACCACACCAAATAAGAAAGTGACACTCGATAGTAATCAACATTAGCTTTAGTATTGCAGCCCTATGATTCTGAACACACCTATACTTGACAGAACCAACCAGATTCTTTAAAATATATGGTGGTAGTTTTCCTCTCTAAAACAGTGTTAATAGCTTCCCTTATGGCAACGCAATGGAATTTAGATTAACAGTTTCTTGTCATCACCCATGCAATCGGTGCAGTCGTATCAAGCATTATTATTTATGGTAATTGCTTAAGCTAATGTCACATGAAGCTAAACACTCTTTAATTAGGATAATTTTATAAAATATATTAAATTTGTTCTGAAAAGTTAGCAATCAATAATAACCACCCACTCGTATGATTCGTTTGAAAACTTGATCTAGAAACTGCTAATCTAGTTTGCTTGGCCTAACCAATACTTATGTATCTGCACGTCTTTCACCTTAAAGTTTTGCTGCTCTACATCATTTGTCTTTAATCCGAATGACAAAAAAAAACTAAAAACGGTCCACTTTTACTCCTAGATGGAGCTGTAATAAAACTATTAGACTTATGGCTCATGTGACTTTTTGCGTAGGCGTGCGCAAAAATTTCCTTAAATTTGAGCAGTTTTTGTTGCATAACTTTGCACATGTGGATCATACTTACGCTAAATGATACTCATAATCGTAGGTTGTAAAGATCTATCAGTGTATCATAATTCGACAAAATATCCATAAAAGTTAAGATTGTTTTTCTATCAGTTAAAGTTTCCGTATATTTGGTGCGATTTGTTTGTAATTAAGCACAAAGCTACACAATGGGCTATCTGTGCTCTGCCCATCACCGGTATCGAAACCCAGATTCCAGCGTTGTAAGTCAGCAGACACACGTGGATTATATTTACACTAAATGATAATCATAATCGTAGGTTGTAAAGATCTATCAGTGTATCATAATTTGACAAAATATCCATAAAAGTTAAGATTGTTTTTCTATCAGTTAAAGTTTCCGTAAATTTGGTGCGATTTGTTTGTTTGTTTGTAATTAAGCACAAAGCTACACAATGGGCTATCTGTGCTCTGTCCATCACCGGTATCGAAACCCAGATTCCAGCGTTGTAAGTCAGCAGACATACCTCTGTGCCACTGCGGGTCGCTTTTGGTGGGAAGAAAAGAGAATAGGGAGAAACTCGATCAAAATTTGATATGTTACATCTCAGGTACTTCTTAATGGATTACCTTGAAATTTGGTATGTGAAGTAAGAGTCCAGTAGGGCATATCCACTAAAAATACGTGATAGTTGAGGTTACCACAGTCCGAGCTACAGGAAGTGGAAAATCGCTAAACTAATACTTCTGTTAGTAACACAGCGTGACCTGCAGGTTGTTTTTTGTCGCAAGCCGCACTACCTCGTGTCTTGATCCAACTTTTGCTTCGAGCTTATATAAATTGGATAATTACCGCTAGTAACTTTCTTCAGGCCCCCCTAGTGGCTCAGCGGAAACTCTAAGGGCTTATAACCCTAAAAACCGGTCTCCGATACCCATAATGTGCAGCTTTGCGATTAATAACAAACAACCCCTATCAGAAACCCGCGGTAGACACATCTAGCTTCTAACTCTGTAAATCTTACAAGGAATATAAACCCATGGGTAAAATTATCCTTTAAACCCACAAAAGCAATAATCTGTATATGGATAGACTTTCACGTAAATATTGCCCATCGTCGTTGCAGCGTTTTCGGAAGGTATATTATGTAATATAATTTACGACAGCAATAACAAATAACCAGTCTCGCAATAAACTGCCACGTGGATCTTTTTGCTATTGAATTTAAGGAGAACAGTCTGATCAAATCGATAACCTCACCACAAGCAGGTAGGTAATGTCTTCCGTTATCTTACATAACTGTTCTTTGTTGCCCCGTGGACGTAATAACTTTCAAACCCTTTAATTTGAAATGGTTCTTTTTACATGATGATACACCTCAACAAACCCCTTTTATGGGTCATAAGGTACAATAAAACATAGCAAGTGGAAAGGGAAAGCAAGTGGAAAGCAAGTAGATTCAGTTAACAACGTTGTTTTCTGCCTTCTCTCCTCCCAAGCTACAGAAAGTGGAAAATCGCTAAACTAACACTTCTGTTAGTAACACACAGCGTTGGAAATATAAACGAGGTTATTCTTACCTCACGTATTTTTTAGGTCTATATTTTAATTTTGTATTTAAAATGTGTGAATACTGTAAAACATATTTTCTTTTTTTTGTTTCTTTTTGAATTTCGCGCAAAGCTACACGAGGGCTATCTGCGCTAG